TTTTGTTTTCACACTGAACTGCCATTTCATAAGAAAGTGTTGTCTCGCTGGTACTTCCAGTAGTCGCAGTGGTCTTTCATAAAGAACGAAATTCGTAGAGAATCCCGAACATTTGGGCGAGACATGAGTGCAGTTGCGTCACTCTTCTTCTAACTTCTTTTCTTTCATGAGTATGCAGATAAGTGATTTGGGTTTCTGGCAGGAGGTTTAGAATCTTTCCCAGTTGACTGTTGACTTCCTCGAAAATACTCTCTTCGAGCGAACCAGTAACAGTAAGGATATCAGGAGAAAGACATCACTCCTCAGGAACAGTGTCAGTTTGTGGTTGTTGAACTTCCGGATCCATAAAAACAGATGCTCAAGAGAAAAGAAGATAATAAGAACAAACGATACTAAACACGCACCCCTACTAGCAAACGCAAGCGGAAATGGCTGAAAACCAAACGGATTACGGTTAGTTAGGGGATGAGAGAAGGTTTCCGAAAAATAGCAAAACCGATAGCGTCACCAGAAAGGGCAAAATAAACCAAAACTAGCGAAAACGCTCGTCGAAAAAGACCCAAAAGCGAAGGAGCGGCAAGCGATGCAAACGACCAAATTTGGATCAGGAAGGGGATCAGCAACCACGTGAGGAAAACGATGATCCTTTATCCTTTGTGCCTTTTAGGCACAACGGGCGAAGGGTCATCGTTTTCCTCATAATTCGAAAAGTACTGATCCAATTTACATAATTCGAAAAGTACTGAACCAATGTTATAATAATTCGGAAAGGACTGATCCAATTTACACGAAAGTTTAATATGATAAACAGACTTACCCTTACTAAAGACCGACAAGAAAGCAGAGCCAATGGTCTAGTACGATGGCCAAAAATCAGCCGAAAGTCAGCAAATGACGGTCGCTAATACTAGCCAAATAATTAACGGAACTTAATAAATAATATATCTATCGAATCGGCATAGCAAGGTGAACACAGCGGTATAATAAATGAAAATGTACAACATGAATTTGGCAAGAAGAAAACCTTCCGAAGTTTGACCACGTGGTCTCGGCCAAATAAAACCCGTAACACACGAAGGTCTGAACCGATTTAAAAAATGAGACGGCGTTGGAAAGCGCACGTCAACAGCAACAAAATGATATATAGTAAATTCACCGATCTTTAAAAAAATCCAAAGATAACGCAAGTTATAAACGGAGCCTACAAACACATTACATATAGCAGTGGCGACAATGACGCCTTCCCACCATAAAGGATAGCCGGTTCGATGGCCAGACGTTAAATACTTGTTAAGCTCTTGTTGTTGAGGGCCTAGTGTTTCCCTGCAAGAAAGCAGTGAAGGTTCAAAAGTTTTATGGCCTCATTACAAGCGTTTTTATGTGAATATTCCATTTCAAACCCTAATAGATAGTAATGCCCAGGCATTTCATATTGTTGGTTTATCTTATCCTAGTACTTCCTATTGTGATCGAGTGTGGTTTCTTGAGTTTCTTGTGGTTTCTTCATGAGTCACTTTTGACATTAACATCAGGTGGTCTTACCAGGTTATTGGATAATTTATTAATGTTGCTCCACTCTGAAATTTGATTGAGAAAAGGATTGGCTTTTTGCAGCAATTTCTTACTGTTTTTATTGGACATCATGAGCAAAGTATCATTCGATGATCCCTAGTAGCCAAGGTGCTAGTGATTGCGTGAGGGAAGGCCGTTGTACATGATGTTGTAAAGGCCAGGCCTGGACCGGGAACCCTGAGGACAACCCGGGCAACAGGCCAGGTGACAGGTGTGACAGGTGTTACAGCAGTATGGTTCTTAAGATAGCTGGTGAACAGCTTGAACACGTTTTGTGGACAGTTAAAGGTTTTGATCTGCCGAAAAGAAGATAGCAACCATAGAGAGTTGAACGCGTTCTTGTAATCTATAAAGATCAACACTATGTGTTCTTCATTTTTCCAAGCGCTGTCTATGAATTTTTTTTTTTTTTTTGTTGAAAGGGGTTAGAGGGCTGTCCACAAATAGCGGCGGACTTATGCCCTGTTGGAAGAAGGAAAGAAGAAGTTAGGATAGGAAGAAAAAATAGAAGAGGAAACAAAGTGAGATAGAATAGTGGGAAGAGAAGAGCAATCAGTGGGCCCCCTTGGGACCCCACGGGCGTCTGCATCGGGTTAACTATCAAATCCAAACATACTTATTTACAGATTGGCAATAATCATTTCTGCCAAAACAAAATTTGCCCGAAGAAAAAAAANATTACAAACATTAGATATTAACAAAGTTCAAAGTAATCATCCACAACAACAGGTCCGTCGGAAAAGCACCTTGCGACGCACAAATTCAAAGTCCACAACAACACAACAAGATGAGACGATCTTCTAAGACAGCTCCGGCAACTAAGGTCAACGTGAGTTCACTCTATGGGTCCAAAGCGAACTCAACTTCCCGCCAGAACTTCAATGCTTTTATAGGATTGAAACAGCATTCGGTTCCACCAATCAGCATTTACCAGCTCTATAAGACGTCCGCCGATCGTCCGATGTACTTCAACCAATGAGCAGTCGAGTCTTCAAAATGTTCTGATCGCCGTTTCTATGGCGACAACGGTCGTTCACGAAAAAGGCGGGAAAACCGCGCGCCAGACGATTTTTATTCCCGACAGTCTGCATCGGGTTAACTATCAAATCCAAACATACTTATTTACAGATTGGCAATAATCATTTCTACCAAAACAAAATTTGCCCGAAAAAAAACCACTACATACCATAATATAAGAACAAATAAATTAAAAATAAACATATAATTTTTAAACCGGAAATGAACAACTATTTACATTTGATTATAGTTAATAGCACATCTCGTGGTTTTCAATTGAAGGTTGAGTTGAATAAAATAAGATGAAAATGAAGAAGGCCAACTGTTTAAAAGTCAACTAGGAGTTATTTACCTCCTTAAACTAATATTGGCATAGAAAAGGTCCAAGTTGGACCTCTCAGTAAGATGCGATGACTTGTTCACTAATGAATATTCTTAATGTTACTAGTCGTGAGTCATGAACATATAAGAAGAAAGCACTTATGCCGCCATAGCCCACAGGAAGGAAGATTTCAAAAAAATGCTTCAGTCTCGCTGTCTATGAATTGGATTACCCTGTGGATATGGTAGGTGGAGGTCCTGTGGATGAACCCAAACTAATGGGGATGTAGATGATTGTTATTTCTGAAATGGTGGTTAACTCTGTTGATTAGAAGTTTGTGAAGAACTCTGCCCAGTATGGACAGAAGGCTAATCGGCGTCAGATCTGTGGCTTTGACTAAGTTGGGAGACGCAAATTTCAGTATGAATTTGACAACAGTGTGTTTCCAGCATTTTGGGAACTGGTGCCTGGTGAGGCACAAGTTGAAGGTAAAGAGTAAGGCGATAAAAATGGATTTAAATGCTCTTTTTACCATACGGGCCGTTATTCCTTTAATGCCAGGAGACTTATTATTCTGTAGAAATTTAATAGCAGTACCCACCTCTGTAAATGTGAACAGTTGTCGTTGTCAATGATAGGTGGGTAGAGGACTTTTCTCCTGATATTCTTCTTCTCTGGGTTATCTTCCTTGTAGTAGTCTGGAGGAAAATGGGTGATGAAAAGATGTTTAATAGTAACATCCAGATCAGCGGTATACTCACCGTTCTCTTACTTCAAGTATGCTGGGATGTCAATGTTTTTTTACTTACTATGTAATTATAATTTTTACTTACCATTCTAATTATATTTCTGTATGGATTATTTTATGTACTATGATTGTACTAATGCAGTGGATGTTACATATATATAATGATTATTGTATATTATGTATTGATTTTTGTATGTACAGAGTTGGACTTTGTATAGACATTATTATATTTATTGTACAATAATTACTGTATCTGTGTTTGTTATTCGAAAATGTTTCTTCGGTGTTATGTTTTTTTACTTTGTTCCACGGACAAGTGTATAAAACTATAGCCTTTCAGCATTCGGTTAGTCAGGTATGGTGCTATCCCTGTGTAGTGGAGAATAAACGTAAAAAATTGTTTGAAATATTTTCCCACGCGTTTTTTTTTCATTATCGTTTCGGAAAAAGATTTTGTAAACAGTTCTGTCTAGTAAAGAAAAGTCTTTTTTTATTGTACATAATTCATTTTTTATGTTAATTTTTTTTCTCAGTAGATTTTGGCTAGTTTTTCGCAATACCCCCAAAAGAATTTAACGGATATATCTGTCCCTCACCACTGCCATACGTTCGCCCTGGACAGATATATTCGTTGGTCACTGCTGAATGGGTATTTTGTAATGAATAAATAAATAATAATTAAAAATATAAAATCATTTATCAAATTGAATAGCAAATATATTTATAACAAATTTTCACTTTTATCAATTAATATACACGTAATTTATTTTTATTTTAGATACTGAGAATTTATAAATTATAAGAATGTTAATTGTAGTTTTGAAACTTCATAAATTTAGTAGGTAAACATTTACAGTGCAAGCTGAAATATTCAAAATGCGAATATATTAGAATTTCGTATCTAACAAAATTTTTAATAAGTTATATGTAATCTTTCCACAGCAGACATCTCAAAGCGAACGCTGTATAAGTCTATGATTCTTTTAAGGGTGCTATTTACTCTGTTTTAAAATGAAATATTATAACACTATTATACTCTGTTAATATCTGTTGTATCCGTCTTTTGTCGTATATAGTAACGTTCACAGAAACACACCATATTTTTGTTGTGACTCGGAATCATAAAAAACCACTTGTCCAATAATGTTCAGATTCACAGAATACTAGCGTGGCCAGTTATTATTGTACATTCCAGATTCGTTGGTGCTGCATAAAAATTTTTTTATGTATTTTCAAAATAAAATAGCATTTATAAAGCCCTAAACACTACTTTCCAAAAGTTGAATAACATTTACTAAAATATTGTTTTTACATTAAATGCTTCATTCAAATTTTTTTCAGAGAATGGAAAAAGGAATTGCAGAAGAAAAATCCGAGCATACTGAAAGCTGCTTTACATTTTGTTGGTTGGAAATACTTGATTGTAATACTACTTGTATTAATTCAGGTATTATGACACCCGATTATAAAGAGGTGACGCTAGTATTAAAATACTGTAATTGAAATAACTGACATTTATGTATAATTACAGGAAACAGCTGTAGTTGCAGGTCAAGCATATTTTGTAGGATTAACAGTACGTTATTTTGAAAACAGACAAGAATGGAATCACTACAACGTTTATGTTACAATTGCAGGATTCTTTACTGTTACTGCGATTTATTTGTTTACGTATAATATTAATCTCTTTATGACAGAATATTATGCAATGAAACTGAAGGTAGCTTTCTGCACTCTTACTTACAGAAAGGTAGGTAACAATTAGAATGTATTTTGAGTAATTATTTTTATATTATTCGTATGTGGTGTATTGTGATTAAATAGATTGGAGAAATTTTAAAAAATACTCTTATGTAAACGATTGCTAAATCGTAGATTTTCAATTTTGTTATTCAAATTAATTTGATGGAAGTTGTGAAGAAATGAATTATTACTCAATATACTCAAAAATTTTGAATAACCATCGTTTTCTGCTAAAGAATCTATTAAATATTTTTCTTCTTGAACATTTTCCAGTAATACTTCGCTTTTCCTTACTTCTGTAGACAATACCTCGCTAAAAGGTAACCGACAATTCAAACGCGTGAAACTATTGCATTTCATCAGAATTAACAGTAAACAGTAATTTTGAACCAATGAATAGATGCGCAATGTGCGTTCACCATTAAGGCATTTCCTGAATATAATGATTGTATAAATGGCCTCTGAATAGTTGGGGCGGCACTTTTTAGGGGGCAGTAAAATTTCACAATAAATAATAATAATATCTTGTAAAAATATGAACCATTCTACCATTATAGTCTATATTTTCTTCGCGCCTACGATAGTGCTACCATCTGGACAGTCAGAGAATTGACTCACCGTCTGGGTGAACTAGTAATTTTATCCGGGGATATCCTGCGCAGCCTGTTGACCTTTTTTTCTTATACGATTCATTTGTATTCATATACACCTGCAATATCCAATAGGGCTATTTCGAACAGGTCGCTACACTACCACGGAATTTTTCATTGCTTATTCTGTGACGAAACTGAATTTTAGTCTTATAAATTGGGATACCTAAATAACGGGACGGCGAAAATTTCCTCCGCCCGGGCAACTGACACCCACGCTACTCCACTGATTAAAATAATCATGTCATTATGATATGAATTGAGAACTTTCAGGAGAGTTGTTCTGTAGCAAAAAAGCCTCCGAGTGCGGTACGAATCGGACACCCTAGAGCAGTATTTTTCAACCTTCTTGAATACGCGACCCCTTTACAAGTTAAAAAATTCTGGTGACCCCCACGGCCATATTAAAACTATGTCAGTGATTTTAAAAACTACCGGTACGTATTTAATTTTTTATCTGTTGAGATTTAAATATCGATCAAAAACTAATTGTACTGTAAAATAAACAGGCACAGTCTTCTCACTGAAATTGTAGTTTTTTATTATAGTGTAGGACCTACAAATACTTGTCTTTTCTTTTACCCGCGACCCCCCTGTATGGCTTTGCGACCCACTGGGGGTCGCGACCCACAGGTTGAAAAATACTGCCCTAGAGAATATCGTGAATGTGAGAACTGCTATCGAAGTTAGTCCACAGCACTTAGCATTCCTACTTGTAGTTTGACGGTTTTGATGCAAGAATTAAGTATATTTCCTATTGTTAATGATCAGACATGGTTCCAACAAGATGCAGCTTATAAAACCAAAATATCTATAACTGCTGTAAGAAGTCGTTGCCCGTAAAGTTATCTCTAGTAATAGTGACATTTCTTTGTTCAGAAGATTGTTGCCATGTGATTCTTTTGTGAAGATATTTGAAAAAAAGTATAGATTAACTTCCCATACAGTAATTCTGAGCTCTAAGTCAGAATTAGAGAAAAAATTACCTGAACACTGTTGGAAATGTTTCAGTGTTTAATGGTTGATATGTACCCAAGAGTAGAGGAATGTCTGCGCAAAGATTGAGGAAACCTTGAAAGTGTCATTTACAAAAAATAAAATGCATTTAATTACTTTTAACGTGATACACCTGTAACTTTTTAAATTGAGTATCTCCTTGAGGTATTGAGCCTTTATAATGTTTCGTTTCTCTGTCTCATTTTATACAATAGTTAAGGTAAAAAAACTGTTGCCTTATTAACCTGAATATTCCACATCCTAGTAATATGTAAAATAATTTTTCGTGGGTTTTTTTTCTTTGATTTAAAGGTCTTTTCAAATAAATTTCTTTCATGTAATTCACGGCTCTCACATCAGTATTCAGCTGAAAAATGACCGTTTTCTTCTTAAAGACGCATCAATAATCATGATCCGATCGACTGCGTACATTCAATAATACTAGGCACTGTAATGACAAAGAGTTAAAAAAAATAAACAAAACTTTAAAATAGTAACAGAACTTTAACGAAAAATTCGAACGTTTTCGGCGTTCTGTTACTAGTATTTAAAAGTTTTGTTTTTGTTTTATTACTCAAGTGGTTTGAGAAGGACATTTTATCCTTTATTAAGATGCAGTTTGAAGACATTGTAGATTCATAAATTCTTAGTGCTGTCTGTCTGCCTTTACTTAAGCTTAAAAGTGTTCGTTAGAGAAGAGATAACAGAGACCAAATGTGGACACATTATGGGAATGTGGTTCCCAGTAAACTAACACTATGCAATCTTTCTTTTGAAATTCGAAGTTACATTGTTTTAACTGAAAGCTTTCACCTGTAAGGAGTTAGATGAAAGACTACATGACTCTTGCTAAATAGAAAAGTATTATAAACAAGGACAGCACACGAGTAATTTAAGATGAAAAAAATATATATTAAATGAAATAAATGAAAAATTTTATTAAAAATTGTAGCCTGTCATTTGATGATGTCACAATAAATAATTGCACGTTTGATAATATAATATAATATAATATAATTTATAATATATAATAATTTACTAATTTATTAATTATTTTTTTTAAATACTAAGTACTTACACCTCAAAATATTAAAGAAGTAGGGCGCTGTCCGATTATCATGGCTGTTGGCGTGAATACTTTGCTCTCTTGTGATTTAACCCATTACTGTTACTTTTCTGAAAAATAATTAAATACACTTCTGAAAGAACGAAAACTTTTTGTAACTATTTCATGATGGATCAAAATAAAACGTAAAAAAGAGAATTGAAAGCGAGTAAAATGTTAGAGGTGAGTCGACAGAGGTAGTGATCTTTTCTTAGATATGTGCCAATAATGGGATTAACGATCAAGAAAGAATTAAAGTTTTATTTAAACTACAACCGTTTTCAAATAGTAAATTACAGGTACTTTTAGATTGATCAGATAGAACAAAATTATTGAAAATATTTTGTATTGTATTGCCTGTATTGAAAATATAGACACTGCTACGGTAGATCTTGAATTTATACTCCCTGTCCACGAAATTGATAAAGCAACAGGTAACGTTATAAATGACAAATCACACGCAGAAATAAATGCAATACGTAAAAATTTAGCCTACATCTAAAGTTTTTGAAACTGGAGGATAAAGAAGAAGAGTAACTTTGTAATTTCGGGTTTAGAGAATGACGAAAAAATGGATAATGTCTATGCAAGGTACGAAAATTATTAAGTGATAACTTTCAGTTTTTACGGATGTGAATATCAAGTAGACTTATCGAATTGAAAATTTTAAACCTAATTCAAAAAGACTGGTTATTTATAGTGTTTAACTTTGAAAATATATAAAAATATTAATAAGGTGAAAAGTTAAAACATATTTGTTAATGATGATTACTCGCTAAATACTAGAATTATAAGAAATAAGCTAACAAGGGGGCCTTACGGTCTCGGAAATTCAGTTCGGGATGAGACTTTGCAGGTTAGTAGTATACCTCAAGGGTGTCCACCCAGAAGAATTGTAAAGTGCACTAGCAACAAGATTCCGAGAAAAAAGGCTCTAAAGTTTTAAGCGCAACTCATATACCGATCGATTTTGTACTATTGTAGCACAGCGAAATGGCTGAGCCTGTAGCGAACTCGCTTGACACGCGGACGATCTAGGTTCGATTCTACCTTTTGCTAACTTATTTTTTTATTTTACATTGTTTTAAAAATTGTAACAACTTTTAAATAAAGTTAATGAACTAAAAATACTATCAATTAAATCATAAATAACTGTCAACTTTTACACCTGCGAGCTAATTATTCTGTGAGTTTTCACAAGTCAGCAGCAAAAGTGGCACTTTCACATAACTTTTCGACCTATCGTCTTAAGTTCATCGGTTGAAAATAACAAGGAATTGAAAAATTCTTCAAATTTAAAACGAATATTTTAACCTCTCCACAGCTTAAAATATCTTAAAATTTTTAATTAAAATTAAAGTTTTAATTTACCTCCATTAGAAATGCATTTGAAATTATTCAACTTTTTAAAAATATTTTAAACTATGGAGAGGTTAAAAATATTCGTTTTAAATTTGAAGAATTTTTCAATTCCTTGTTATTTTCAACCGATGAACTTAAGACGATAGGTCGGAAAGTTATGTGAAAGTGCCACTTTTGCTGCTGACTTGTGAAAACTCACGGAATAATTAGCTCCCAGGTGTGAAAGTTGACAGTTATTTATGATTTAATTGATAATATTTTTAGGTCATTAACTTTATTTAAAAGTTGTTACAATTTTTAAAACAATGTAAAATAAAAAAATAAGTTAGCAAAAGGTAGAATCGAACCTAGATCGTCTGCGTGGCAAGCGAGTTCGCTACAGGGTTGGCCATTTCGCTGTGCTACAATAGTATAAAATCGATCGGTATATGAGCTGCGCTTAAAACTTTAAAGCCTTTTTTCTCGGAATCTTGTTGCTAGTGCGCTTTACAATTCTTCTGGGTGGACACCCTTGAGGTATACTACTAACCTGCAAAGTCTCATCCCGAACTGAATTTCCGAGACCATAAGGTTTCCTTGTAAGACTTTATGGCAAAATATGCGCTTAAAAGGAACTACTACTGTAATGTAAAATTGCGATATAATAAATTGATTGTGGACGATAAGACTGCAATATTAAAGGTGAGATTTTTCAAACAGATATCAAACAACTTTTTTTAGGAATATCGTTTGTAACGATAAAAAATTAATTAAAAAGAATTATAAGTAATATAATGTTTTATACTCGGACAATGGCGATAATGCAAAACGTTTTTTATAACATAGCAAGTTTTAATAATAAATATTACTTTCCAAATTTTTGCAATATAATATATATACTGTTTAGTAAAAACATAGCATAATTCACCGGTAATCGAATCAATGTTTTCTGAAAAATATAAAATTTACCATCAAGTAGCACATAGTTGTGAAGGACCTGCAAGACCCAGTGGTGGCTTGAATGTCGGTTTTAAGTGAACACGGTTTCTAACGTTGAAATTATATTTTAATTACGATTTGTTTTGTTTTTACAATTGGACATTGAGAAATCAATCAATATATAACTAATGGTGTTTTATATTTCGCCTGACAACTATTTCGATGATGATTTTAAGAACATGTTATCGCTTATAAAAAACTATCTGCTACCTGAAACGAGCTTGATTTCATGCGCTAATTTTAACGCTCGAATGGGATATTCTCATTATTTGTCAAGTTTTACTGGGGACTGGAAAACTTTTTCGACAGCCTCGAAAGATCTAATTGTTAATGACAGAAGAAAAATTTTATATAAATTTTCTGATGATAAGTCTTGTTTGTTTAAATGGATTATCGCCAAAAGACAAAAAAGGTAATTTTACTTATCACTCAACAAAAGGAGGCAGTGTAATTGATTTGTGATAGTATCATAGAATATATATTTTAGTGTTGTAATTAATTTAAATGTTTTAACAGAGATTAGATCAGATTATTTACCAGTTTTACTAACAGTTAACTAATTTGTATCATTTAGACTTTTTAATAGACAACTTTTAAGTAAACGTGCAATGTACAGATATGAACTTAAATCTTAATTATCTCTTAGATTAGGTAATGTCTTATTAAAGAAGTATCGAAGAACTCTTACACCTAATGATCTAGTAGAATGTAGAGCTTAAGCAGCAATGTCTTCTTTGGACTTAATTTACGACATTAATCTTGTACCAGGTAAAACTCATGCAACAAATAAATGTATGATAATGAGTGTCACATTTGGGAAAAATTTGTGGAAGTTGTTTAAGAAGGTAATAACGTCATATACAAATGAATATTATATTTAATATAAACAACAGAAGCGTACTCAGCAGAAAATAATAACTTAATCAATACCTAATCACTCTGTGAGAGATTTATTATTAAAACAAACGTTTTCAATCCAATCAATAGATCATCATCAGGTTAAATGGAACACTACGAAAATAGAACGAGTTCAAAATTCAAAATATTAATAACCGATAACATATACGCAATTAATAGCCAATTAATGTTTGTAAATAATAAAATTAACACAAACGCTGCTAATACTAAAATAAAATACAATAGTAAAAAATAACAAACAAATTGTGAATACTAATAACTACATAATATCTTATATACTTTTCGGAAAATATTTATTTTATATGAAACCTTCATATGCAGGCAATTAGGTTAAGTTCTTCTTCTCTGGAAAAATCAAATATGGGACAAATGGTAAATCTCCTAGCAAACGACATCAGCAAATTCCAGAACGTAAGTTGAAAATAATTTTATAAACAATAATACATTTAATGTACACTCGTAAACCTGTATATTTTGTGTACGTTTTATAATGGCTGAATCGGTATTAACAACTTTAGAATAAGAAATATAGGTAATTCTGACAAGAGGAAAGTGCAATGAGGCATGGTTTCAGTCGGACCTCTTTTAAAGCAACACTGATCATTTTAAAATGAAATTCAATAGAAACAGTTTGTAAGAATTGTCTTCTGAGTGAACGACAAATCGATTTGATGATAATCATGCTTTGATGCGCTTTTCTCATTTAATCGTTTAATATAATATTTTTACTGTATTAATGTTTTTATGTGGCAATAATTAATTTACAGAACAATAAAAATATTATACTTGATGCATAATTCAATAAGAACTTTCTGTATAACGTACTTTTCAGCATCGTTCCTATTCAATGTTTTATTGTTTTTAGTATTAATTTAAATGTATTCTCTTAGATTATGGCAAATCAAAAGTCAAAATTATTGGAAAATGCAGGCTTTCTGTATATTTTTCTATTTTCGCTAAATTCCTAACTTGTATTGTTTTCGAATATTGCAGACTATATAGTGGATACTGCTGTTAGTCTCAAAATTAGTTATGCTTTATTTAGTCTAAAGATAATTCCATGTATCTATAGTTGCTCAGGTTGATTGTAAAATTTGCAGAAACGTTAATGTGCTGAAATGATTGCATATTTATACTATTCTTTATGTCTTACAAGTATATGGATCTAGTTGTGAACCGCAGGGGAGAGTCGACAGTTCCCGATTTCCCTGTATGGACAACAAATCGTTAAACCTGCTCACTGCCAGGATAGTGTATTTTGCGATAACAGTCTCTTTAGTTGGGGACTCAAATGTCAGCGAGTGGAGGGAGAGAAATTTGGGGACGACGATAAGGTGAAGGGCGTATACGAGTGAAGGAGTCTACCATTTATAACAAATATAACAAGAATTTATTAATATATGCAAATTAAACGAAAGACTACACTAATTGCGTTTATAACCGCCTAATTTCTCGAGAAAAAGTTTCCCGCTTTTCATACCTCTTTCTAGAGATCCTTGGTCTGTTTAATCCGTGGAGGGACTTAAAAGTCCAAAGGAAAGTGGGTTTAATCCAAACGAGCACAAATTTAAAAAGTTCGCGACTTTGGCGATGAGGTGTTATCGTCGATCATAGATCGGAATTTGGTGAGTTCGGAGAATCGGCGCGATGTCGTCGGTCCGGCGTTTGTTAAGAGACTCTTCTGAGAGAGGGTAAGAACTGTCTTTTATAGCTTTTTGTGGGGAATTTCCACCACGTGATCGGATGTTCATGAGCTAAAGGTTATAGGTGTTCCAGGGACATAAAACAAATGACGAAAGTTGGACATTAACTATAAACTTTACTTCAAGATGAGCTGCAAGTTCTGCAGAGAACAATGGATGTTGATACTTTTAAAACAGGAAGTTTTACACATTCCCGGCTAAAATCGTTTTTTTTTTTTAGAGTTNGTTTGGTTTACTTTTCAGAATCGTTCATATTTAATGTTTTATTTTTTAGTCTTAATTTAAATTTATTCTGCTAGATAATTGCAAATCAAAAGTCGGAATTATGGAAAAATGCAAGCTTTCCGTATATTTTTTTACTTTCGATAAATTCCTAACTTGTATGCTTTTTGAATGTTGCAGATATTGCTATATAGTTTGTACCTATGGATACTGCTAATAGTCTCAAAATTAGGTACGTGTTCAGGTTGATTGTAAATCCTGCAGGAACGTTAATGTGCTGGAAGGATTACGCATTTAGACTAATTTTTTTATATCTCTTACAAGTATATGGATCTAGTCAAATAAGAGTTTATATAATTGGCAATTCATTATCCCATACAAAAAATTTTAAAAAATTTTGTTTATTTCAGTGAGAATACGGATTTGTATTAATTTCAATAGACCTACAATGTGACACTAATAAACCACAGTTCTCATGTGTATATTGGAATCAGTTAAACCCGGTCTGCACATAATGTGCCATTAACCCGAGATATCTCGGGTTGCGCGTGAGAATGCGCAATTCTTAACGCGAGTTATCTCGGGCACAGACCTTAAGGGCCTCATAAAAAAGGGCCTTGACTTTTTTGAGGCCATTAACGTTTTTTAAAATGTATGGATCAGCGTATATACATCATCTATGTTCTCTGCAAACTTCATGAATTATTTTTGCTGCGAAAATTTTTTATGACGATTTATTAATTGCATAATTAATTGCACTATTGTTTTTAATGGGAGTTTTTTTTATGAAATTAATTAAATCGTTCCAAACTTCTATTTGACCAATTTGAATTTGGTAAAATTTTTAAAAATGCTATTGGATGTTTTTTTGACATCAGCAGGTTATTTGTTATTTGTTAAGTAAATTTTTTTATCATACCTTTTTTTTGGTCCCCTCATATTTTAATAACATAAAAATCGAAAATATTGTGTTATATTTGAATAGATACGGTAACTTAGCTCCCCCACTGCTTTAAACCAACATTCCCCAGAGATGTACATGAGAACTACCTGGGAAAGCTGACAACCAGTTTGTAAACAACTAGCAGACCCCACCAAGCGTTGTTGTGGCTCAAAATGTATCTATTGTAAATGTATAACACTTCCCCCGTAAAGGGGAGAATTTTTTCGAAAAATCCCTTCTTAGTGTACATTCTGTTGATGTACCCTATTAAAATGCAATGAAAATGCAAAAAACCACATCTAAAATAGTATAATTGATGCCAAGTTCTTCACGGTAAGCCTTAATCTTGTCTCTCTCCCCCGTGGGGGGATACGGAAAAATCCCTTCTTAGTGTATATTCTGTTGGCATACTGATCTGATCTGCATTAGTTCATCTTCACAAAAAAGCGTAATGCTTCACAGAAAAGCAAACTTACGTACTCTCAGAGTTAGCGCCATCTGTTGGACATAAAGCTTTAATCCTAGATAATCTTTTAATTTATATGAATGTTTAAGAGAATAATATACAACCTATGTCCACCCTGAAGTTCCATTGTAAATATTGGTGAAAGAATTTTTCAAATTGGATGAGTAGTTTCAGAGATTAGCCCTTGCATACAAACTAACAAACATTACCTTTTTATAATATTAGTATAGATGTAGACTGCACATGTGAAATTTCACGCCTTGTTAAATGAATGAATAACAATCTGTGCAGATATATTTTTTGAATATAAGCATCCATTTAAAATTATTTTTAAGTTTTTATCTAGTTTTTCTGTAAAAACACTTTTTGGAAAAGTTTATTTTCCAGCAATTTTTTACTATTAGATTTGCATTTGAGTACAAATAATTATTTAATATAATAAATTAACTTTTTAGAAAATTTTTGAGTGTCATTAGGAGTTAAAGAGAAAGGCTTGAGGATTTAAGTTAATGAATGTTTTATATAATGAAATAAAATATCAGATAAACTGAACAAAACTCATGTTCATTCTAAATTATATACGTTTTTCGTTTCATCTTTATTTCAATTTAATTAAAATAATAAATAAAGCATTGTTTGCTTTAAGCACTGTGATCAGAGGGTCGGCACCTCTTCAGTGCCTAGTGAGGACTGACACCACTGTGTTCTCGTTTGACACGGAAGCCGAGACGGCATGTTGATTTGGATTCGATGTAAATCATGCAAGTGGCCGCGTGCTTGGGTGATCAGATTCAGGATGGAGACAGATTGAGAGACAGAGCACCAGAACTACTATACTTAGACTCTAGAATTAATAACAAATAATCGTTTAATAATTTCAAATGAAAAAAATTACAGGATACATATCAGGATTAACTGACTTATTTAACGGAGTAGTCGAGAGAGAGAGAGATTAAGTAAGGTTCACATTGCAATAAATACCTTTTGTAACAGATGTCCCAGTCAATCTTGTGTAGAATCGTGGTATAAACGTAATAGTTCGTTTTAAATGCTTTAGTAGGAAATGTGCAGAAGCGAAATATTCAGTCAAAATCGTGCACTAACACTATAAAAATTTTAGAGAATGGTTGTGCTGATTTATCACCTGAAGGAACGGGCGATGACTTCGCCTTCAGCCGATTGATGTATCCGTTCGATATCGTCAGCCAAAAACGTCAGAAGACCACGGGAATGCATCTTTTCGTTGTTGGGAAAGTGTAAGTGGAGATTTTCTTAGGTAGCTGAAGACAACAATTATGCAAGTATGACTTCATCGACGACCAACTTTTTGTCAAAGTTTGGATTCTCACATGACTCCAGCCTTTCTAAAATCGTGCTTGTTCTCATACGTGTAAGTTCGATTTTGATTCTCGGTTAGATAAAAAGAGTTTCTTTCTCGTTAGAGATTAGATATTAGAATTATTTTACATCAAAATAAAATATGGTGATTAAATAATAACACTGCAAATAAAGTTAGTCCTAAAGCGTGAGTTGTTATTTACATACTAAGCGTGTTGCTTGAGTTTAATCAACAAATCAACGGTACTCTCTCTCTCTCTCTGTCAGAAAGGGTGTTGTGTCTGTACCGGTAGTGATTTGCGGTTAGAAATAAAAATATACGTAGTAAGTAATAAATTTATATTTATTAAAGAATGAAATATATTTCATTGAAGCTGAATATGCATGATCGTTCCGAGTCGTTTCAGATGTGGAACTCTGAATAAAAGAGGATGTGAAGTGCGTACAAGTTATAATATTAGGGTTAAATATATTATTTAATATTGTTAACTTAAGTTAAGGTCATTCCCTTTTCCTTCTAAGATAAGCCTGTTTTTGAGTTGTTCTGTTGACTAGATATTATTTCTTTTCTTGTCTAGAGGATTGAGTAGTTGGAGGAGAAATAAATTTAGGGATTCGACTTTGTCAGGGAGGTGGAAGAGTTCAAAGTTGTTCTTCCATGGGTACTTGAACCCATAGGAGTGCAAGGGAATTGAGTCTTTGTTCTTCTGCTGTAGAGGGTTCGGTTTCCTCATCGTCC